TACAGTTAAAATAAAAAAAAGTTTATTAAATAAAGTCTAATGTTACAACTAACTGGGGATCCCTTTAAGTTAAAAGAAGTGTAAAAAAAATAGAAAATGGAAAAAGTTTTGGAGCTCAAGAGATTAATCACTTCTTTAAAAAAAGTGGTGAAAAAGTGAAAAAAATATTTAAAAAAATGTTGCTTTGTCCCAAAAAGTGCACAATTGTTACTTATTTATGTATTTGTTGCATTCACTTTGAGTGTCCCTGCAGGACAGGAAGCATTATTGAGCCCAAAGCTTGACTCTCAGCTCCAGGTCAGCATCCAGCCGACAGCAGGAGGAAACCGGTTCTGTGAGGCGAACTATTAATGATTAACTGACGGCCTGTTACACACTATCTTTCTCTTAACAACAGGGTCAGGAGTCGTCACACACCCACCCCACTGCTTCTGCAGGGCCGTCCCAGGGTATAAAAGGAGCGACCCTTCTCCAGAGCAGACACAGCGGACCAAGAGTCCTCAACCTGACTGAGAGCAGCCAACTGATGAGTTCGAGCTGAGCGTCGCGCCACAAAACTCCTGAAGGTAACAGAAAACTCTTCATGCTCTGTAGACTTGTATGAAAGAAAGGGATCTGGAGAAATCTGCTAAAGAAGTCAGGAGAGTCCTGTTTTTGTCGCTTTTGTCACTAATAATTTGTTTTTCTTCATTTGTCTCCAGACCTTCGGACTTCATCTTGTCTCGTTCCTCGTCTGTTGACTTCCTGTCTCTCCAGACTCCTCTTCGCCATGCCTCCGGTGATGCAGTCCCAAAAACACAACGGTCCCAGGCTCCAGCAGGGAGACCTGAGCTTCCTCAGCCCAGCGCTCCGGGAGTTTGTGGAGACCAACGTGGCCCTGTGCCAGCCCGAGTCCGTCCACATCTGTGACGGTTCGGATCAGGAGAACCGAGCCATCCTGGCCCAGCTGGAGAAGCAGGGGATGATCAAGAAGCTCACCAAGTATGAGAACTGGTAAGTTGTTTTATATGGACTGATAGGAACCAGAACAAGTAGGCAGAACATTCATCTCATTCCTCCTCCTCTAGCTGGTTGGCCAGAACCGACCCACAGGACGTGGCCCGGATAGAGAGCAAGACGGTGATTGTTACCAGGAACCAGAGGGAAACTGTGCCCACGCCGCTGGGAGGTGGAGTCAGCCAACTGGGGCGCTGGATGTCCCCAGAAGAGTTCGACAAAGCCATGGCTCAGCGGTTCCCCGGCTGCATGAAAGGTACTGGTCTTTGAGAAGTGGAGATCTCAGAGACGACGATGAAAAGAGTCCCTGTCCCTGAACACGTCTCGTGTCTTCGTCTTCAGGTCGCACCATGTACGTGATTCCGTTCAGCATGGGTCCAGTGGGTTCCCCGCTGTCTAAGATCGGCGTGGAGCTGACCGACTCACCCTATGTGGTGGCCAGCATGAGGGTGATGACACGCATGGGGAAGTCTGTACTGTCCGCTCTGGGAAATGGAGAGTTTGTCCGGTGTCTTCACTCCGTCGGCTGTCCTCTCCCACTCAAAAGTACGACTTCAAAACACCCGCAACAACATCTATTGGACCGTTTCTTCAAATTAACCAACTGTCCGATTGTTCCTCCAGAGCCTCTGGTGAATAACTGGCCCTGCAACCCTGAGCAGACTCTGATCGCACACATCCCAGACCGCAGACAGATCGTCTCATTCGGCAGTGGTTATGGTGGAAACTCTCTGCTGGGGAAGAAGTGCTTCGCGTTGCGCATTGCCTCCCGCATCGCCAAGGAGGAGGGCTGGCTGGCTGAACATATGCTGGTAAGGAAAGAAAAAAACACACACTAAGAAACAGTGCAGCTGTTTAGGGGTTTCACAAAGTAACCAAATGTTTTGTTCAGATCCTGGGCATCACCAACCCTGCTGGGGAGAAGAAGTACATGGCAGCAGCCTTCCCCAGCGCCTGCGGAAAAACAAACCTGGCCATGCTCTGCCCAACGTTGCCTGGATGGAAGGTTGAGTGTGTCGGAGACGACATCGCCTGGATGAAGTTTGACAACCAAGGTCAGCGACTTTTTAGGACTACTTGCATAAATATGACCAAGAACTCAAACGAGAAATAAAATATCTTTCTTGTGTGTGTTTCAGGCAACCTACGTGCCATCAACCCTGAGAACGGCTTCTTCGGCGTCGCGCCTGGCACGTCCGTCAAAACCAACCCCAACGCGATGGCCACCATCGTTAAGAACACCATCTTCACAAATGTTGGCGAGACCAGCGATGGGGGAGTGTACTGGGAGGGAATGGACCAAGAGCTGCCTGAGGGAGTGACGCTCACATCCTGGAAGAACAAGCCCTGGACTTCAGAGATGGGTAAGAATCCTACTTCCTGTTTGCAGCCAATCAGAGGATCTGACCATCTCCCAGCCTGTGAGGTTAACTCTCCATCTTCTCTTTGCTTCTTTCAAGGAGAACCTTGCGCTCATCCCAACTCTCGTTTCTGCACGCCGGCCGGTCAGTGTCCCATCATCGACCCGCAGTGGGAATCCCCCGAGGGCGTCCCCATCGAGGCCATCATCTTTGGAGGCCGCAGGCCAGAAGGTGAGGACAACAGAACTTTTGATGGCGTTAAATACTTTGTGGATGTGTTCTTCACAACTGTTTGGTCTCTAACAGGTGTTCCTCTGGTGTACGAAGCCTTCGACTGGCAGCACGGTGTGTTTGTTGGAGCAGCCATGAGGTCGGAGGCCACCGCAGCCGCTGAACACAAAGGTCCGAGTCTGAGCTGAAGGATCTTCTCGTGTCTTTTATGAGTCAAACATATTTACTTATTTTCTTTCTCGCTGCTTCTTTCTTCAGGAAAAGTAATCATGCACGATCCTTTCGCCATGCGCCCGTTCTTCGGCTACAACTTCGGTCAGTACCTCTCCCACTGGCTGAGCATGGCGGACCACCCCGGTGCCAAGCTGCCCAGGATCTTCCACGTCAACTGGTTCCGCAAGAGCCCCACCGCCGGCTTCCTCTGGCCCGGTTTCGGCGACAACATCCGCGTCCTGGACTGGATGTTCCGACGGATCGACTGCGAGACAAAAGGCGTGCCCTCGGTGGTGGGCTTCCTGCCCGGCCGCGACGCCCTGGACCTGCAGGGTCTGCAGGGGGAGGTGAACCTGGACGAGCTGTTCGCCCTGGATCAGGAGTTCTGGCAGAGGGAGGTGGACGAGGTGAGGGAGTACTTCACCACGCAGGTGAACGCCGACCTGCCGGACGAGGTGGCCTGGCAGCTGGAGCTCCTGCAGCAGAGGGTGAAGCAGATGGGAAGAGAAACGAAGCTGCTAAAGGACTAATTAGTGATTCAGTGAAAGAAAAACAGCAGAAACCTTAGATCAAATCAGTTTACACTGTTTAAGGCTCAAACCTTAACATAAGAGACTCATAATTGTCTCCTTAATTCTGTTAATTAATTTCCAATAAGTCAGATTTTTATCAAAGACTGCTGAACTCAACAAGAAATATTTATTTCTCTATCATCCAAGCGTTGCAGCAGCATTATTGTGTTTTGTCTCACTGTGTTTGTCTAGTTTATTTAAGGATAACTTATTCCAAATGCATCATTGTGTTATTGCCACATGGATGTCCCCCTCGCTCAGAGGGTGAATGTATGGTAGTTTGTTGTCTTAATTTATTTTTATACAGTATTTGTTCCTGTTGGTTCTGTTTGCTGTAATTTGGATTTATTGGAAAGAGAAGACGTTAATAAACATTTTAAAACGATCAGTGATCCCGTCTGTTCTCGTTCATTTTATTCTCCTCGTGTTTGTGCATTGTGGGGATTAAAACTGCAGGTTATGATGCTGCACTTTCACCAGGAGTGTAAATAAGAGCCGAACGTCCTGCCTCTTCTGTGACCCGAAGCTTTATCTCGAATGTGTGACCAGCTGACAGGAACCACAGAACCACCGACACAGAAGCAGAGCAACGGTTTGCAATCATTTCAGGTTCAAACACAACCGAGCAGCTGAAAAACATGATTTTATGAAGTGTTTTGCAGCAGCAGACGTGACATCGTCTCCATAAGGAAACGTCACCTTCCTGAGCACCGCTAACGGAGCTCTACCTGGTATTTCTTGTATAGAATCAACACGTGTTTCAGCACGTCCTGAAAATACCTGGATCCAGATCATCACCAAAATTTAACAGTGTGTTCCTTTGGCCAAAACACACCCGTGGTAAAAACTTCAGGAAAATCCGTCCATAAGTTGTTGAGTAATTTGTCCACAGACAGAAACAACTGAAAATGTAACCTCATTGGTGGAGGAGATATATATAAACATAAATAATTATTTCCTATAAAAAAACACAAATTTTACATACAGTAAATACAGTATCAAAATAAAATGCAAGTAGTTTGAAATCAACTAAAAGTTCAAACCAGCTGCAACAGAGACTTTCTTCTTTCTTTCTTTTGTCTTTTTGTTCCAGATTACAGATTATTAACAAGTCTGAGAGGTTAAATCCATCTGAACCGTGTGGTCCTTTTTCTTTTTCTGTCCCTTCAGCTTCAGCAGTTGTTTCATAAGATGCAAAGATAATGAAGGAACTAAAGTTAATCATCACTCGCTTGTTTTTGACTTTAAGCTTTGAAATCTTTGTCCTCATTTATCTTGCACCTTGTCACCATCCTCTGAGAGTTTCTAGACTTAAAGAAAACACAAACAGGTCGGTGAAATGTTGTAATAAAGAGCAGTTATTCTGCAGGAACATCCGGTGATCACTGTGAGGATTAGATGTTCCTCCACAGCTGAACCCACAGCTAACTGTACATTTCTATAAATTAAGCCTTCAGTCTTCATCTATATGAGACTTTTATTTTGAAGTGCTATGATCTCCATCCCATGTTTGAGCTCTTTAAGGGACAGACGTCACAGCAGCTTCTTGTTTCATTCTTTAGATTTCACTAAATAATTTTAATCTTTTGAAATTATTCTGCACGGAGCTGAATGTTTGACTCTGTGTCCCCTCGGTGTGAACGAAGCCACACTTTGTTGAGACGGAGAGGTTCTGCTCTGAAAAGTATACAGTATATATATATTTTTTTTGTTTAAAGTAACTGGAGAGGAGTTTGTTTTCCCCATTGGTGTTCATTTCACATGTTGTATAATTTCTATCGGTTTTTCTTTTTACTGTTCTTATATTTCTYTTCTAGTTTTTCTTTTTCTTCTTTATTATAGTATAAAAAATATTTTAAAAAGCCACAGATGATGCAGAAATTAAGAAACTAACATTCAGTTTTGTTTTCTACTGAAGTGGCAAAAAAAGGAGAGGAGTTATTGTTGGAAGTGGATCAACTGAATTAATAATTTACAGAAAATCTGAATGTTCTTTTTAGTCGTCTTATCTGAGAAATTATTTCCTGTCAAACTTGCAGACTCTTAATTTGACAGCGAGTTTCCAATAATCCTGTTTTCAGCTCTTATCTTGTTTCTGATTTTTAATGATTGTTGTTTCTTATGTGTTGCTTTGTGCACTCATTATAATTTGCCCATTTTGTTGCACTAACAATTAAAATAAAATGAAAAGAAAATACAAATTTATTATTCTCTCAGCCAGGTTTTGCGTTTCCTGCTGCTTCAAAAGTTCATTAAAACCAACAAATATGATGAAACAAAATCATCTTTAAGATTTAAACCTGATTGAAACAGAAATAAAAGGCCAGCTGCAGACAGATCAGAGATCAGAGCTGAAGTTGTGTAATGAAAGTACACAGGCAGTGAGCTCTTATCAGCAGGTTTACATAGTAAAACTGACCCGGGTCCGCTCAGACTCGCTCAGCGGTGACGTCCAGCTGTGGGCTGTGGGGGTCAAAGGTCGGCGCTGGGAACTCCAGGTGACGTAGAAAATCAGCTGCCAGAGGACTTCGACTGTTCCTGAAACGTCCAGATCATTCATCCTCTGCCAAAACACACCTGTTTTATGTTCACATTAGTCTGTAAATCCACTCATCGGGGGTCAGTGGGTCCTCCACCACCCGGCTGCACTGTAAAAATAACTTGTGAGATTTACTGGAGAAATCCTGTAAACGATTTGCACTAATGTTTGTTAAGTAAATTTAAATGCTACAAATTCAAATAATACTGTGTTTACTCTCATCATTATCTAGTAAAAGTTATTAAGAATATACGTCCTGATGCATCTCAGTAATCCAGGTAAAAAATCAAAAAGAAAAAAAATAGTATAGGTCTTCTGGACGGGTTCTTCT